TGAGACAAAAAGAATTTTGTCTTTTCGTCTCTCCATTTACTGTTCATTTAAATTACATAAATATTACTCTAAAATTTCTAGCTAAATCCCAACAAAAGAGTAGATTGGTTATGCAGTGGAGAAAGAAATGAAAAGGATTTCGTATTGTACATATATAATTTTTTATAAAATGTAACCTTTATTCAGTATAAAATAATTTGGAACATTTGCTTAAATATAGACTAAGTCCAAATTCACTTCCTAATATGATTTGTAATCCATTCCAGTCCCTGATACAACCTGAAATAAAGAGAAAAAATTATGCATTTATCAAATTAATTAAAATGCCTGCTGCACTTATAAATGTGTTAACTGTAATTACTGCATTGAACTTTATGAAAAAAATCTGGTGTCCTTTCAAACAACATGATAATGACTTGCTGGAGAATGTGTTTTTCTTGATTATTGTATTTAACAAGGCTGTGCTGTAACAAAAATTGTAGAAGCCCATAGCTTTAAGGCTGCTTTTCACTAGTGATGGAGTCAGAGTCGGAATCGCAAGACAAGTTGAGTCGTAAGAGCACTTATGACCTGGTGAAAATCAAAAATTGGAGTTGTAAGGCTTTAGCACAGTCATGAGCGCGATGGAATGGGAGTCAGAAGAATCAGAACATTTCCATTTTCTTCGGACTCTGCTTGTGACTCTATCGTTTACAATCTAGTAAAAACCAGATTGTCGGAATCGGAAGCAGAAGTGGAAGGATAAACCAATACAATGCATGTTTGCCACTTTGTAATTGGTTCAGTTCTTTTGCTTGAACTGCTTCCGACTCTGACAACGCAGTTTTCACTTGATTGTAAACGACAGAGTTGTAACCAGAATCAGAACGCTGTTTTCACTAGATCATAAAGTTCTACATGTACGCTTCTGATTACGACTCTAACTCCGTCGCTAGTGAAAACCAGCCTTTAATCTATAATTTCTACGAAATTTCTTATTTGTTGTGCTGAGCATATGTGCTGATGGCAGAGCATTTTGGTGATTGAAGAATTTTTTTCTGTATTGACATACAGGAAATATTTTATACTGTTATGAACAAAGTAATATGTACATAATTTTTTTTCTGAATGAAAACAAGGCAATGCTGAGTGCTTTAAGACTTTAAGAGGTAAGTTTATAGATTGTCTTGATTTAAGAAACAACAATAAAACAAATTGACTTACCCCTCCCCTGTAAGTGCACAACAAGCCTGCAAGGAAAACCCAACATCATTAAATTAATATTAATAGTTAATTGGGGTCAAATTTTAATAGTATCACCATTTCTGCCTAGAACCCTGGAATGCTTCACTTAAATACAAGTATAAAACTTTTAAAAAAAATTCACACATCCAACAGACAAAATAAACAACAATACACACTAATAGAGAAAGATTTCAGAAAGTAATTTAAAATGAAAATGAGCGTTAAAAAGCACGACTTTGTGATAACAAAATACTGTCATCAACAAAGACTAAATTATGGCAAGATTGGTAGCAATATAGTAAAGAAAGTAAAAAGATAGTGTGAAATTACATTATTATTACATTAAAATAGACTAATAATTCTGTGGTAACAAAATTAATTAAGAATGTGCATAACTACTTGTAAGTGAAAAGTTGTGGGACAATGATAACTGTTTAAAGTCAGTCTTAGGAGCATCTCATAAATATGGCAGTCAATTTTTCCATGGTATTTCCTGAACAGGTTAATTTGCTCCTGAAAATACATTGGCTTTTGTTGGTGAATCTCTTTAACAATAAAAATTGACCAACAAATAACTGTTCAGTACACTGAACGTCTGCATTCTTATTTTCATACCTGTATATGCCATCCATGATCTTTAATAGAAGTAAGATTTAATTGCTCTGATATCTCAGCTACACTCATAGAACCCTGAGGAAAATCAGTCCTTTGTTAGGTTCACACAACTCTTAAATTTAAAAGTGAAATCTGAGATGCGTAAACTTGTGGGATTAGAATAGGAGGAGAGGCGGTGGGCAGGAGGGCACTCATTCCCTCACCCCTCAGCTTAATAACTATCCCAGCCTCATTAAAATGATTGCTGTAGCTCACTTACAGAACATAATGCTTATGTTACAATTTATTATATAGACACGAGTGTTTTACTGGAAAATATGCCACTCGTAAAATTCATAAAAACTACATCCGGGACCCGAGTGGTTTATTTTCCATAATTTCACACGTGAGTTTATTGATGATGAAATTTCGGTAATTTCTCTTTATTGTTTTATCGATGTCTTTTGTCTATATAATAAAAAGAACATTACACGGCAGCTTGAAGATATGAATTTTATTTTCTTGTGGCAAAAAATAATATTTTACTCATTCGCTGTGCTCGTTTGTAAAATATTGTTTTGCCACTCAAAAATAAAATTTGTATCTTCGTGCCACCGTGTAATATCCTCTATGTAAAGTTCTTTTGTCATGTCAAAAACTATCATTGTTAAATCACAAAGCAACTTTAATCGGGCATTGGAAGGTAAATAACTTTATATATTGGGTGATGAATTACTCCTAATCTTGGAGTGAAATTTCAACATTAATTTGTAATTTCACATGTGAAATTACAAAATTGCCATGGCAACCTTCCATATGTCTCAGTGCCAACATGGCAACAAAGTTTCAAAATTTTATGACTGACAATGTCAGGGCATTAAAACATGCTTTGGAAAACCTAGACACAGGAAAGAGCACATTTAGAAGGATTCTAACAGGTATTTTGTCGAGACATTCTGAAAATTCTGAACTTAAGCCAAATTTAAGCTCTAAACTTTTGAGAGCATGGAGGATCATAATGATTTGGACACAACACTTGTGAAATTATTCTCTAATTTCACTCATCACCATTTGATTACACATACAAACAAAATAGCAAACCTTTATATCCTGTTTGTTGGCAAATATGAGCACTGCAGCTTGTCTTAAATCCTAAAGTAATGAATGGCATAAAAGAGTAATTTACAGGTCATAATTGAATCAGTCAACGTCTTGGAAAAAAGAATGCCTGTAGGTGAATCCTGGTTTACATTTTTTGCCTCATTAACATACCTGTATGCTCACCATTATCTGATAAAGCTAATAAAACAACATCTCTGAATACTGAAAGAGCATAACTACTTCAGCGATATATTTCAGCGATATTTTGAGCCCGATATACAGTCTGTACCTGATGGTTTCCTAGAAATTCTGTTTTGAAAACTCACAATTTTACAAAAAATGTACATATATATGACTCATTAAGTTTTTTGGCACCCAGCAATTTCAGTTTTTGATGGCTGATATTCTCTTCAGTATTGCTTGCAGAGAGCTGAAAATTGAACAAATTGCTCAATGTAATCAGCTCTTTTGACTTTTGATTTTAGTTTGTATATACATGTGACCCTGGCTTCTTAGATGAGTCAAGTAGTATGCTAATGAGGAAAGATGTAAACAATAACATAAAAAAAGATTCGCCAACACTAGCCCCGGTTATAGTAAATAATAATGCACAAACAAAACATGAAAGGTCACAAATATCAAAATAATGTACAACATGTCACTAAAACTACCAAGACATGCGCATTTTCTGAGAACATATATGTACTTTATTTAAGAAAAACATTTCAGCGCAGCGAATTACCCAAACTGTTTTGAGAATACACTGTACACAAAAAGAAACAGACAAATTTACATCTAGAACCCAAGACTACCAGTTAATTACATGTAGATTTACGTAACCTGTACGGAATTTTTGAGGCAAAAACCCAGACACCTCTCATGTGAAACCCCCTCAGCAATGGAGAAAGACGAGTGGCAGCTGTATTCAAAAGCAATAGGTCAGTTATTCAAACGCTGGATCTCCAGATCTTTTTCTTAAGGGTTTTATTGAAGAAAATAAGTGCTTTTTCAGTCTATGCTTTATGATTAATTCAATTGTTCACAAAAAATGGTGTTTAGATAAAAGCGTTGGGCAAACTGAAAATGGCTTAGAATGCGGTTTTGTTAAACACAGGCTAAACTGTTTAAATAATTGGCCCAATGTGTTCAAGGAATAACTCAATAGGATGGACAAAGAGAGTCGACTGTACAAAGAAAAGGCTTCTTACCTCATGATTCAACATGTTATAGAGTTCTGCTTTAGTTACAGGAAGTCTTTCTCTGTCTGTGCTATCTACAACTACTATTAAAAACTGAAAAGAAAAAGAGTAAAAGTTAGATTCAGAGGGAGCTTCTGGAGCGTCAAAGAAGTACAGGTGTATATACAGTGTACACTGGTAAACTGCACAGAAATTAGTTTGATATACTAGAAATAACGTGGTTTGAAGCACTTTCATCAAAAAAATTCTTTTCAAAGAATTTTCAAGCACTTTTGAAATCTAAAATTTCAAGGGCTTCAAGGAATAGCATGAACCCTGACTTCCACTAATCTTGGCGATAATTATTTTTTACTTTACAAAATACATGTAGATGTAACTGTGGTAATTTCTTGTAGCCAACGATTTTGCAGAGTTGGGCAATTTGGCCCAATGTAATGATGTTAAATCTCATTTACACATGTGTATTCATGATCAAACATACTTCTGTGTTTGTGTAGTATGTATTCCATGCTGATCGTAAAGACTCTTGTCCTCCTATGTCCCACATTAAAAAGTGAATATTTTTCCATACTACCTACGATACAAAATCAAAGTATTGCTCAGGGACAAATTAAATCACAAATGTCACAAACAAGAGAGAAAAAAGATGTTCAGTACATGTAGGAAAAAATCATCAAGAAAAAAGGTTATGTGAATAAATACAATGATCCCCTAAAGGGAAGATGCTTTGATGCTAATTATTATGATTTATTAATCATTCAAAGTATTTCTCCGTTTCTGATTGGCTAAAATCACATGCATAATTCACCATAACCAGCTACCGTTGACCAAATTTGGAAGAACTTTGCAATTAATCAACCGATGACGTCAAAAGTGCAGCACAGTTGCAGGTTAATGCACCGTTAACAGAGAAGACCTGGGGACGAGGTTGAGTTGTTTTGGTTGTGAAAACAAAAGTGGCGGAAAAGCCTGCAGAACATTTTACTTGTTCCACGATGAACTGTTGTCTAAAAACATAGCAAGAAAGACAAATCAACGGACAACATCTGCTGTTTGGAGTATATTTGCAGACCTGAACAGTCCTTTATCTCCTTAACATCCACTACTGATGTGAACTTAACATCGACGAAGGTAAGCATGTTTTAGCTTGTTTTTAAAAGAGGAATTGTTTTGAATGAATAATAGAGCAATTAATGAATTCGACTTTCGTAGGATATGAAGAATTATGCAGATCTCGGACAGGGTGTTATCCACCGAGGCTGAACATCTCCTTGATCTGTATAATTCTTCATATCCTACTCAGCCTCATTCATTAATTGCTAAACTATTATTATTAGCATTCTTGCCTCTATCAATTATTCTTTGAGGAAATGTATAAAGATCAGCCTGGAGANCTACTATTAAAAACTGAAAAGAAAAAGAGTAAAAGTTAGATTTGGAGGGAGCTTCTGGAGCGTCAAAGAAATACAGGTGTATTTTTTACAGTGTACACTGGTAAACTGCACAGAAATTACTTTGATATACTAGAAATAAAGTGGTTTGAAGCACTTTCATCAAAAAAATTCTTTTCAAGGAATTTTCAAGCACTTTTGAAATCTAAAATTTCAAGGGCTTCAAGGAATAGCATGAACCCTGTCTCCACTAATCTTGGCGATAATTATTTTTTACTTTACAAAATACATGTAGATGTAACTGTGGTAATTTCTTGTAGCCAACGATTTTGCAGAGTTGGGCAATTTGGCCCAACGTAATGATGTTAAATCTCATTTATGTGTATTCACGATCAAACATACTTCTGTGTTTGTGTAGTATGTATTCCACGCTGATCGTAAAGATTCTTGTCCTCCTATGTCCCACATTAAAAAGTGAATATTTTTCCATACTACCTACGATACAAAACCAAAGTATTGGAAAAGATTAAACTCCACTCTCAATCAGTCAGGGACAAATTAAATCACAAATGTCACAAACAAGAGAGAAAAAAGATGTTCAGTCCATGTAGGGAAAAATCATCAAGAAAAAGGGTTATGTGAATAAATACAATGATCACCAAAAGGGAAGATGCTTTGATGCTAATTATTATGATTTATTAATCATTCAAAGTATTTCTCCATTTCTGATTGGCTAAAAGCCCATGCATAATTCACCATAACCAGCTACTGTTGACCAAATTTGGAAGAACTTTGTGATTAATTGACTGATGACGTCAAAAGTGCAGCACAGTTGCAGGTTAATGCACCGTTAACAGAGAAGACCTGGGGACGAGGTTGAGTTGTTTTGGTTGTGAAAACAAAAGTGGCGGAACATTTTACTTGTTCCACAATGAACTATTGTCTAAAAACATAGCAAGAAAGACAACTCAATGGACAACATCTGCTATTTGGTGTATATTTGCAGACCTGAACAGTCCTTTATCTTCTTAACATCAACTACTGATGTGAACTTAACATCGACGAAGGTAAGCATGTTTTAGCTTGTTTTCAAAAGAGGAATTATTTTGAATGAATAATAAAGCAATTAATGAATTCGACTTTCGTAGGATATGAAGAATTATGCAGATCTCGGACAGGGTGTTATCCACCGAGGCTAAACATCTCCTTGATCTGTATAATTCTTCATATCCTACTCAGCCTCATTCATTAATTGCTAAACTATTATTATTAGCATTCTTGCCTCTATCAATTATTCTTTGAGGAAATGTATAAAGATCAGCCTGGAGAATTTGTTTGTAGAAATTGAGTTTAATGTTTTTTTTTTTTTAGCTATTGGAAAACAACAACCAAAAAAAGCAGAAAAAGTACCATAAGCTGTTGAGCAGTTCAACTAATCTTACCTCTTCCACATTACTGCCTATCGTTGGTGATGTATGAACAACTTCACTCATTAAACTGCAACACAAAAAAATATTAACTACTGCACTTTGCAATATCTGTACAGTCATGTATATACACTGGTGTATAAACTCTGTATTTTTTTCTTTCTGGATACTGACAGACACTCTGTACACATAACAATATTCAAGTTTCAGGATGAATCAGTATGAACTCCACCCTGAAGAGGGTCAAAATTAGACTACGAGCAGTCTCTCTTTTTTCTGTAGTCCGTCGAGCAAATTAAAACGCGAGACACGCAAACGGCCACACGCGAGACTGATGGCGAGAGATGGGAGAGGCACGAAAAAAGAGAGTCTCTCTTTTTCTTCTCGGGCTGCTGCCCTCGTTTCGTGCGTCTCACGGCTTCGCCGCTCGCACGCGTGCACTCCCCCTTACTAAACCGGAAGAAAAAGGGAGACTGCTCGCAGTCTAGGTCAAAATGGTAGTCACTGATTAGTCAAGAAGAACTAGCCTTACAAAAATACAAAACTCGACTGTAGCAAAAAAAGGATATTTAAAAACATAGCATCCCAGACTCATCATTCACCTTAGAGGAGATCTATGGTGATCTGCTGCATCTATCCCAGATGATAAAACAAAAAATGGTACACTTTGCTACCATGCGAAAATGGAAATTGGGCTGTCACTAAGTTTTTATATTATCAGGTACATACAATAGGCAGTTTGGGAATTTAAAAGCTAGAAAGTTATTTTGGTTCTTTTTTTTTCTAAGAAAGTAGCCGAGGTTTATGCTTAAATAGTGAAATCCCTGGTCCCTGCCCTGGCCCTTAATGACAGCCCTGGGAAAATATCATATCCTTTCTCATCCTGTAAAAACAAAAAGCTGCTTCCCAATAAAAACTACACGTTTACCCTTTCCTAGCATCATAGTGAGGAAAAGTGGAATTGGAGTACAGGACCTGAAAGTTGAGAAGGCTGATAGAGTGGTCTGTAAAGAACTACATGTAGTCTAAGGGGTCTTGGCTTAGGACAAAATAAATTATAATGATGATGATGATGATTTTTTTCATGATAATTATGTTACTGATCAACCAGAAAATTAGGGGATCGTTCAATTACTAGAAAACCCTTGAACAAGGGAGAAAGGCTGCTAAAGATTGTAGCTGCACTAATACATTGTACCACAGACAACTTTTCTATTCTTGAAGGGACACCAACATGGCGTCTCCATACAAAGCTTTATAAATTTGGGTATATCGTTTTTCCAAATATCTCGCAAATGAAATATCACACAGACCTGATGTTTGATGAGGCTTTTTGTATTTTATCTTCTTTTATTTTCCAGATTCTGGACATTCTGTATTGAATGGGTGCACTTTTATTTTTGATGGCGTGCAGTGAAAACAGAGAGTTTCACTAGAAAAAGATCACACACTGTACATGCACATATTTTATTGACCATAAAGCACACCTTCTACTAAGAAATAAATATGAAATTCTAAATACTCACAATTGATATAAAATTGTTGTCTTTCCAGCATTGTCTAACCCAACAATTATCACCTTGTGTTCTATTAAGGAGAATGAAGTACATAAATGACTATAATATTGATAGGTGTATCTGTGTTGTCACTATGATTTCAATTTGCTGGGAAAAATACAACAAACCCATATGAAATTTTCCTCAGGTGAAACCCTCTCAGCAATGAAGAATGATGAGAGGTGGCTGTTTTCAAAAGCTGTGTGTTTAAGGCATAAATATTCCCGGCCCCCCGGCTCTTAATGACAGCCCTGAGTGTATGAAATTTAGCAACTTTGAACACATTTAACCATTCTTCCTGAAACCAAAGAAACCTGGACAATTTAGGGATCACTTAAGGTTTCTGGGAAACTTCCCACCTACCGAGGGCACAAAATAATGGCCAGTCAATGGACAATGTCCGGCCAAAATGCCATCTTGGCCAGCCAAAAGCTCTACTCTCTGGTCACGTTGACTGTAAATCTTAGATTTCACGTTAGATCATGTTCACTGATTAAATTACACAAGGATTAGTTAACCTTTTTTCCAAGTTTTTGACAGGTCAAAAAATGAGATGACCGAGCAAAAATTTCTTTGGCTGGTCACCGTGTCCGGTCACTGTCCAAAAATTATTTTGACCCCTGCTACCCATCCCCTAAGCCAACATTAAACACTTACTTCTAACTAAGGGTAAAATGTTGGCTTAGGGGAGGGGTAGGTGGACAGTTTCCCAGAAACCTAAACATGACCTCTAACAGGGTAACCACCTTTTCTGATCACACTTGAAAATGAAAAAACCAGCCAAAACTGAAGCATAACAGAAGTGCATGCCAGGGAACTCAAAATTGAAAAGAGTGGACACAGGTGTAAGAACATTCTGCCAGAGTTGTTTAAATAGTCCAAACAAGTAATTCCTAAAATAATATGCAACTATACCTTATTCGTATAATTTTGCAGGTACTTAATTTCACCATTTTGGCAGACAGTATTTCGCTGGGTTTTATTTTTGCAATTTAAAAAGGGATTTAAATTTCCTGAGGATTTTAAATTGAAGGTCTTTTATTTTGTGATTTGTTTACAATCACCAAAATTGTGAAATATTTGAAGACCCACAAAATTAAGAACCAATAAGATAGCCTGTGTACAGCCACGCCTTCCCCCCAGAAAAAAATCAGAGAAGCCCTTTCTCCACTTTTTTTCTGAGGGAAAAAATATAGCCACAATACCACCAGATTTCTCCTAAAGTTTTTTTAAAGACACAGATGTTTTTCCAAACTGTAGGTATCTAACTTATGTACAAACTCAACAAGAGCATAAAACTTAATGTGTAAATAAAATATTGAACTTTGGCATCAACATAAGTAGTAATCGAATTTTTTGCTTCTGTATCTGCACGTGACATCTGAATTTAGGTTCATATATATGTTTACGCCTGTGTTACAAGTGGGGATTGGTCTTTAAAGCTGTGCTTTTAAACAGCTTTAACATTCAAATTCAAAGGTGTGAGCACAGTTAGAGTAAAATGAAGAAAAGTGACTTTATTGAGAGACAACTCTGACCACACGGATGAAAATCCCCCCCTCGCGCCTCCCCCCCAAAAAAGACAAAACAATACTTACACTCATACAGACAAAAAAAAAACATACACACCAAAGGGGCTTAGGTTTATTATAACTATTAGAATCTTTAATTTCCTGCTGACCATCTTAAAGATCAAGTAGTGCCTCCTGTGGAAATGTTTGTTCCAACTGGACCCGTAATACAACCCAAATAAAACAATAATTATTTGTGTAAATTATTTTATATTTGCGAGGGCACTTATGTAACCTGCCGTGATTGTGACTAATTTCTTCCTATTATTAAGTATTCTGTTGACCCTTTTCACGTACATAATATGAAAGATAAAATGGATTCAGGATTCACTCCTCTCGTTCCATAGATATACTCTGCTCAAGATGGTATGACGAGAAAATTTGGCGATCTACCAGTACAGTATATCGTATGTCCAATGATTACATCTTTTTGGTCAATTTTTTTTTTCGTCAGACATGAATAAAAAGAGAAAATGAGAAAAATTACTCAAAGTCAGAGCCTTAATCATTTTTAAATATTACTGGGAACGTGCCACTACTCAATATAATCAAAATTTGATTCATCCAATTTTGATAATCATACAATTCAAGATCGTTTCTTTTCGGGATCAATGCCCATAAAGAGTACCGACATAAATTCTGTAGTTCAACTCTGTCATTCGTTTCAAAGACGTCTCAAGACCCATCTTATTAAACTAAACTTTCCAAAGAACATCGGTAAAAGATAACAGTTACAGACAAAAGTTAAAATTGAGAAGAACATCATTCGTATGCATGTACAACACGCACCAAAAGGATAACTTAAGCTTATGTCTTACCTTCGTTACTAAACCAGCTAAACAATTTCGCAAACAGCAATCCCATCTCATGACCATATAAAAATTGTCAGATGAATAAATAAGCAAATCAGGAGGAACTGTTAATCTTCACGAGAGATTTTTCCTAACAACCCACTAACACTTCCGAATCGTCCGATATCTTGGAAAAAGATTTACGTTACGACGCATGCTCAATAAGGTTACAGGAACGTGACGTCACTAAGAGCCTTGAGTTCCGGTTGTGCCGGAAGTCAAGTGAGACTAGATTTGACTAGAATTAACAAAAATCGAAGTTTTCTCTTGTCGTTACCAAAACCTCAAAAGATAAAAAAAACTGTAAAAAACAATGCTCTTAAAATCTAAACATGTAGTGATCTCAATACTGGAAAGTAAAGAAAACTTATCTTTCTTCAATTTTGTTTATCGTACGGTACTACGATAGGGGCTAAAGATAGATTCTCACTTCCCGTAACTCTTAATCCCCAAATTGTTTGACCTCTTTCACACATGAGTAGGTTTACTATGAGGCACATTGAAACAGACTATTTCTTACTTATTACTTGATATCGAAAAACCGCGGAAGCTGGAGGCGTACTCTCCCGGATAATCCGGGAGACCCCCGATTTTCAACCGTTTCTCCCTCTCTCCAGATTTAGAGTCTGAAATCTCCTGGATAATCGCCGAAGTTTGCTATTTTTTGTAGATTCGACTTTCTGTCAATGAAATTTAAAATATTTTGCGTTGTTTGAGCTATTTAACTTTAAACATTGAACGTTTCCTCAGAAACCTTAGTATGCCACTGTAATATATAAAGCAATAATGTGATTGGTGGGAAGTAAACCAGTCAGGTACAAATGTTACAATTCCAACATCTTTTTCGCATGATTTTTTGCAGAAATGACGTCATGTTTCTTGCATTATGACGTCGGGGGTTGACAGCCCTGCGTAAGCGATGAGCTATGTGGTTGATACAAATTGCGGAAATACAAGTATCCATTTTTACTTAGTGGCCTTCGCGCGCAGCCCTCAGACCTCTTCTATTTCCTTTGAGTCGAGCGGGAAAGAGGCGTGAATTTTAAAAATGTCTAAATGAAGCGAGGGAAACAGGAAATGACACAGCCTGTGAGGTTTGCCTTGTGACTCCTCGTTCTACGTTGTTTTTCACAGTACTTCGGAAGGAACAGGAGGAATCCTAGCCTGAGAATACAGCCGCCATACATCGCTCACTGACGGTGGGAAGTTGCGACGGAACAGATCAAACATGGGAGGTGGTTGTATTCGCAGGCTACAAGGAATCCTTGCGGTGTGCTTTATTAATTTTATTTCATTGTATTGTATTGTATTGCATTTTAAGTATTTCATTTCATTTCCTGTTATTATATTTTAAGGTCCCAACAAACTAATCTTCCTCTTTGTCTGTTGCTCTCGCTGTATTTCTTCCGAAACGGAGATCTAGGGTACACTTGCAGGTGTAGCTAGAAATTTTCCGGAGGTACGAATAGTTTTCCAATTCAACCCTATCCCGTCCCCCAAATCGTTTTAACGGGGTTGTCTCGATTGTTTACAGGTCGTTTCGCTGTAAAATGAAGTCGATTCGCTGTAAAGTCGTTTCGCTGCATCATGTCCGAATGGCTCTGCAATTGACTTTTTGTATAACACCCTTTTAAAGACACTTAGAATTAACTAGCAGACGGATGATACTAACGAGTTAATTACCATTTCGCTGAGTCAATCATTGGAAATTAAATTTTTCGGCCCCTTTTAGCTGATTTTTGGGCGGCCATTTGTTTTCGTTGCGATACAGTTGTGGGCTAATGATCTCGGATTTTTCTTTGGTTTAAGTGTTTTTTGTTGTTATAGGTAGATAAGGTCAACATAAATTCAAGATCTGAAGAGACTTAACTTTTATTAACTTGGAAGGGTACTGATAGGGCTAGGGATTAATTGACGTCTTAAGAAATGTTTTGTTCCCGTTTTATATTTCATGTTCCCTGGCCTGTTTTAGTAATACCCCATTTTCTGCAACAATGTTTACGGGAAATAAATAGAAATTTCAAGGGAAATGCTTAAATACTCAATTCCAAAGTGCTCAAAGTCAAGACATAACTCAGGTGCCCGGCGCAACGTAACTAGTAATAGGAGAACAGATTTTCTTTGTAGTTAAGGGTACGGTAATTAGGAAAAGAGTATTGTCTTCTGAATATCAAATTACATTCACTTTCATTGCCTTAGACTGTTCACAGTCCTCTATTTTTCCGCAAGATCGTCAAGATCGAGCGCTTTGTGTTACGGGCGACCATCTTACGGTAAGACGCGGTATATCTAAACGATCTCACGAAAAAATAGGGGACTGTGAACAGTCTATCATTGCTTCAGCTGATAGACTTGAGAGGGTTGGGTATGGAGTTGTGGCACAACTTCCACAACCAGGGAATAAGGCATAAAGTTAAGCTGTGGAAAATCTGTGACTCTGTTTCCTGAGAGGGCTAATACCGAGCTGCAGTCTTATTTTACTCACACACACAAATTCTAAAGAAATTTGCATTACCACGAGGACCACAAGAACTAAAACGTCCATGACAAGAGGAGTACGAGAAGCAGGGGCGGATCTAGGGGGGAGGGTGCTGGGGGTGCGCACCCCC